GAAAGCTACTTCACTTCAGTCAGGAAATGCTTTCGTCTTGGATTCTAACAGAAATAATTGCAACGTTTTAACTGAACTGTTTTTAGCGACAAAACGATTGTGCGAATCAGCGACGAAAAGTCGAAGAAAACGTGGAAAGTACCTCTTTTAATCCAGATAGGGTTTCTTCGGCAGCATTTAACTCGGTCTCTTTCTCGGAAATGAGTTTATGTGCTTTGCTTATCTCCGTTTCAGCTTTAGATTGCAGAAGAGATAAAGCAAGCTGAAAGGTAAAGAAACATAAACTAAATTCAAACTTATTCATAAACTTCATTTTTTATATACGAGTGTTTCGAATATGGAATAAAAAACCTTTAATTCGAGTACCTTTTCCCTTTCAATCTGTTGCTTCAATCGGGTTAGTTCTGATTCCTTCTGATGCTAGGGACGAAAAACAACAACTCAGTTATTAATTCAACGAAAAAAAACGTTAAAAATAAAATAAATTTATATATACGAACGAGGGCTAAGCCGAAAAGCATGAAGGGCTTCTAGTACCAGCAAGAATTTGAGACGCTTAACTTCAGCTTGATCCTCGATTCTCTGTTTCTTTCACGCAGAGCAAGTGTGAACGTCAATCATGGGAAACCGGATATATTTAAGGAAAAGTTTGTAAAAGCGCACATAAGCCTTAGAAATCTTTATTATAAACTGACCTCGTCAATTAAATCTTCAGCCGAGATATAACTGTTCCTGCAAAATAACCCAAATGCAATAATACAGATAATAAGAAACAAAGTTTAAAAAGAAATGAATAAAACAGCTTCTCGATATGCAGTGAATAGAGATAATGGAGTCGGAAGTTCTTTGAAAATGCTAGCAACCAGATAAAACTCTGGTGGTCCAATCAGATAAATTTCAGTTTTTATATAAAATCAAGTCTGATTTCCGAACTTAAGAATTTAAAAAAAATTATTAAAAAAAAATAAAAAAAATTCCAACCCTGGATCGACTGGTGAAGAGACATTGCCGTTGATCGTTTGAGTACTCAATGCAGATTCATCGGTATTTCCAAATCCAATATCTGACAATCAAGAAACGATCCATCTCAGAAATCATGAACCAATACATAACCGATTACAACACAAAAAATATTAAGAAAAAATGACGTGTATAAATAAATGAAATCCCTCGTTTGTGCCTCTACAACTAACCGTCAATTGCATCTAATTCCCCATGCTGAACAAATTTAGCCGCCTTTTCTTTCAAGGACAAAGTATTCAACTCTGCAGAAACAGAAATTTGATCTTTCGGCTCGAGCTCTTCTCCCGTTTCTACGCAAACATCATTTGATAATACATCAACAGACAACGCTTTCACTTTCTCATACTGACCTTTTCAGACAGCAAAAAACTATCAAGAAAAGACTTAAACAAATTGCATGGTATTTACGTATCTTAGTTATCGAGGGTTGACCTCAAGATTCCCAGTCTGACCTGTGTCTATATCTGAACCAATATTGTCTCGTGCAGATGAGGTTGTAAGTAGCTGTCCGATGAATTTATACCCTCTACGCCTGACTATATTCGCAAGATCTTGCCTGTAAGTAGAATCTTGCATAATCAGATCATGCTCTCGTAATTAGAACGAAAATTATTTCCGATTTGAATTTGAAAAGGCCGGAAAATACAAACCTTCCGTTATCTGAAAGCTCTTTCATTGTGGGCACATGAGTTTGGGGAAGTCCAACAGTGGATAAGAATTCGTAAATATCGTTTCGAAGATCCGCATCGCTCTTCACCTTCCTACTAGCTCTTTAAAGAATTCCGTAACAAAACGAAGAAGAATGTAATGTCAGAAAATACAAGCCACCCCAGATATCTATTACAGCAAAATAGCGATAGCAACACTCAAAAAAGAAAAAGTTAAAACAATTCGATAATAAAACACAAGCTACCCCAGAAATCTTTACAGCAAAAATATCCATAGCAACACTCGGAAAAGATTGAAACAATTCGACAAGAAAATGTAATTTCAAAAACCACAAGCCACCCCAGGTATCTTCACAGCGAAATAGCCATAAAAAATACTAAAAAAAAAAAAAATGTTAATGCGAAATTAATCTCTCTGCGAGAAAAGAAAATCAACACAAAAGAGGCAAAAATAGAGGAGAACCTGGGGGATTTCTTGAATGAAGAAGCGAAAACTGTAGTGCAACGGCATTTCTGGTAGTGGATAAAACGCGAGTTTGGTGGTGATGGAAAATTGGACGAAAATGAGAGTTTATTGGAGGAGAGAGAGGGGAAACTCCGGAAATTACAGAGGGTGGCCATGAGAATGTAGATTGGGGAGATGGGTTTTGCAGCATTGAGGGATTTTATTCCGAATTCCAGATGAAAATGGAATATCTCTCTCTCTCTCTCTCTCTCTCTCTTCTCTCTCTCTCTCTTCACCACAAATTTATATGCTTTGAGTAATCGAATTCCTGTTTCTTCTTCTTCATCAGAATGTCCAGTGTAGTTGGACCAATGCGTCTATCAAATGTTGGGCTAAATTTGATATGGGCTTCAGATAATATCAATAGTAGGGTGGAATATTGGAACGAAATTTTTGATCCAAAAACTTTTTATTTGAATTAAAAAAAAATTAATTCTAAAATTTCGATTTCCGGTTTTGTTTTTAAACCCAATTGGAATACATACTAGATTTGGTTTTCCGGTCTGATTTTAATTTCGGAAAATATTTTCTAAAATTCAAGTTACTTTTTGAAAATTGCACTTCCAAGAAAAAATATTATGTATTTCATATTGTAGGTGACTGAAGAAATGAAATTTCGAAATCGGCAAAATCTGCCGATTCGAATCCAAAATTTTCCTATTTTGGAACATGTTTTTTCATACAAAAGGAAGCAACAGGAAAGCAAGAATGGTGATAGAATTATATTAACAAACAAGGAGCATAGAGTTGATTACATTTTCACATTTTATACATAAAAAATCAGTCAACAATATTTACGAGAAAGAACCAAACGAACCGAAGATGGTCAGAAAGGTTTTATTTACAGGAAATGCCATTGCCAATAGACCTTGTCGACAATTCCACCTCCATTCTTAACTGCAAAGCGAAGAGTCTCGGATGCTGGTGGGACCCCCCAAAGCAACGGCACTGCAACAGTCATAGTCAGCTTTTCGTGCAAACCCCCCTTGCTCCCCTTTTCTGCCGCCACAACCTGGATTTTAAATAAAGGCTCTAATAAGTAAAATTGAAGAATTTGAATGACGAAAAAAGGTAATTAGAAAGAAATTCAACATTTATAGCTATAGCTAACCATTGAGTATCAATATCCCAATTCGAGCAGTCTTTAAACATCATTTGATATTCATATTACAGATGTTTCCATTTAGAA